ACTATATGGAAAAAAATGTGTTTCTACGCGAGTCGAAACGTGTTATTCTCTGTCCCATCTTCGAAGGAGCAGGCAGCCAGAGGCCGAAGTGCTGTCATCCGGCAGCCCTTCTACCAGCGCTATTGAGCGCAGTCGGGATCCTTGTGGACGACAGTGACACAGAATACCTAGACAATAGGGGAGCACTGCGTGATGTCGAACACAGCTTTCGAAAAAGTAGGTCCTGAGCGTCAAGCGTTCTCGCAGCTAGTGATAGCTGGACAGTACATTGGGGCCTGCAATTCTCTGTTTACTTGATTTTCCTGGACTTCATCAAGGCTTCTGAAACACCTTCATCGCACATGAACTTGCAAGGTGGGGTCAGCTGCTAGCAGCTATACCAGAAGGGGCACCACTTAGACGGCAGAAAATTTTACGCAGAAGTCAACAGGGTTTGTTCGACCTGGTGAACATCATCATCTGATGTATCACAAGGAGTGATTCCGGGCCCATCACTGTCCCTTCTTTTTGTGAATGACCTACCAACCAGTCTCAGCTTACCTACTCTAATGTATGCTGACAACACTAAGTTGTGAAGAGCCGTGACGTACGTAGCAGGGTCAGGCTCACTACTTAGTGACCTGAACTCTCTCGCAGAGCAGGTGAATAAAAACCGACCAGCATCTAGCTTGAATAAGTGCTGAACTATGTTTCTCCGCACTCCCGGCTCCCAAAGAGAAGCCCATTATACCCGTGGTGAGCGTCGTCCCCACGTGATTACAGAAAAACACCTAGGAATGATACTAATTGACAGGTTAAACGGAACTTTCAGCTACTCAGCGGAAGCCTCTGGGCTTGTGCAGTGTTACGCTTCATACCCCGACAGCCAGATGGCCTCATCCCTGCAAGACGCATACACGATCTCACTTGTAGGTCAATAACGGCATTGCACCGGCATACCCGCAAAGAGGTGCGAACCTCCCGGAGAAAGTCAAAAAGTGATCGTAGAAAGGTATTGTGGAGATGCGGCAAAAACCCTATGATGGTTGGCTGCGGGATCTGGGACTTTAGTGTTCCAGTTATCGCACGTAACGTGGCGACTTGACGACGGCCTGCTTAGTGATCCGAATCACCAGAACAGTGAAAATCTACCAAGCAATCTTCGCGGCAGCCCGAAGAGAGCCGTCCACCAAGGGGAGAAATCCCTTTGGGTTCACGCCATTTGGCTCAGAGACCTTGTTACAACTGGAACCTAATGACCTCCAAGACGGCAACTGCTCCCTCTGCTAACAGCTAAAAGAAGTTGCAGAGCTGCCCAGCGGCATGCTGTTTGCAGTCATTCAACTGGGATACCAGCTAGGTAAAGTTAACGGCTTGTTCTTCACGGTGTAGCACAATCAACCCTAAACTGGACTCTTTTGCATTGCCACTATTATCGAGAATTCGACTCAGCCCTCTACCACAATACTAGGCCTCTCATAAACAGTTTCCGTAGCCCCATGAATGAAACTGCTACTTCTATCCCCGTTGTCCCCGCTATAATCTTACCTTCTCCTCCTCCTCTTTGCAACTATATGATTTAAACGTACTCATTAAGGATCTCCTCATCTAATCTGAATCTACTTAGGCTCCTCCCCACTTTTCTTTCCATTTCTTTCCTGCTTGTTTCTTCTCGCTTACACTCCACTGTTTTCACTGGACGTCTTCTATTTCTTTCCAGCTCATGTTGACGACCACTCTGAACAACCATATGGTCACTGGGCATCCGAGGAGCCCATATGCACTGAGGTCCTTGGACAAACCATATAATACCTCTACAAATTTACTCAACACTCAAATGGTTCAAACGGTTGTTGACGGAGTAGAAGCTTTCGCTTAACTGGCTTCCGCATCTACAGTCCGTGGACCACTCCTCCTTTTGGCTTTTAACCTGTTGTACAAGTAAAGAAAGGTGAAAAGTGGCAATTAAAATGTGAAAATTCACTTAGTTCTAGGCAGATCCCAGACACACATACGTTTCAGGGCTTAACAACTCTAATGGAATAGAAGTTGTGCCTGACATCCAGCCTGCTGTGTTCCGTGCTTGGTTTCTGTGCATGTCCTCTAAGATTAGTGTTACAGGTAAGATTTAATAAGTGTCGGAGTGGATGGCCAGGCGTGCTCAGAATGTTGTAAGTCATTATCAAGTCACCTCTTAGCCTTCTATATTCCAGAGGATACAGATCCAGCGCAACCAGCTGTTCATCGTGTGTTTTGGACCTGAGTCCTTGAACAGATTTTGTCGAACGCCTCTGGATGCGTTCTAAGCTTAGTTTGTCCTTCTGGAGATGAGTGGAGAAGACGATGGTCCCAAACTCCAGGTGAGGCCATATGAAGCTGCTGAAAATTTGGTGGAAGCATCTACGATCGAATTGCCCGAAAATTCGTGTAGGAGTTACTAACGCCAAGTTCCCACGAAGTGCATTTCTGTCACAGTTAGCATAGGATTTCAAGTCTTGGGGGACCAACACTCCCAGATCTTTTTCCGTCAGTGACGCTTCAGGTTCCATGCCTTTGAGGCTATATATGCGAGATGCATCATGTTTTACGTGTATTACCTTGCATTTCTCAGGATCAAATTCAAGCCCATTGTTGGCTGCCCAACTAAGAAGTCGAGTTAAGTCTTCCTGTAGAGAAACACTGTCTTCTTCACTTTTGATTTCCCCCCAGAGTTTCACGCCATCGGCAAAAAGAAGGATTTCGGAAGAGACCTGTAGAGGCAAGTCGTTTATATATATTAGAAAAAGGAGGGGTCCTAGTACTGAACCTTGGGGAACACCACTAGGACATTCCATTTCTTTAGACCCAGAGGAACTCACTCGAACTGCAAATGAACTGCCCCGTAGATATGACGATAACCAGTCAATGAGTGGAAGTCGAATCCCAATTAATTTTAGTTTATCGATGAGACTTTCGTGATTAACGCGATCAAACGCCTTGGCGAGGAGTACCCCTTTCGAAATCCATGTTGTTGGGGTGCAAAGAAATTTATCTTTGTGAGGTAATCTCTCAGTCCATCTTGTATCGGCGATTCCATTACTTTGGAAGGAACGGATAGAAGTGTCACCGGTCTGTACTTCTTTGGATTGCTCCGTTGACCCCCTTTGAAGATTGGCGTTACGTGCCCCAGCTTCCAAGAGTCAGGTACTATCCCCTGACTCAGAGAACTCTTCAATAACTTACTTAAGGGTTTGGACAAGATTGAGGCTTCCTCTCACCGGATGGACTTTATCTGGTCCCGGAGAGGTGTCGCTGGTGAGCAGTAGCAGTTTGTGCTGTACTAGCTCAACGCTTAGGTCAACCACTGAGAGTCCAACTCCGTTCGTAAGCTCCTGAGTGGGTGGAAGATGACGAAAAGATTTACAGATACTGGTCAACCAAGAGCTCAGCTACTTCAGTGTCGCCATTAGTCAGTCCGTTCGCACCTAGTAGTTGAGTGACTCCCGCTTTAGCCTGCCGGAGTGAAACAGCGTAGCGGAAGAGACCTCCCAGGTTAGATACAAACATCTTTGTGAGCCTGACTTGATGCCGCCGCCGATCGGCTCTCAAAGCCTCCGTACACATGTTTCTTGTCTGTTTGAATTGTCTGTAGGTACATTCGGTGCTAATCCTTTTGTGATCGGCCCAGTGATGCCTCTTTAACCTAAGTAGTTTGCGAGTGTGGTTCCTTATTACCATAGGTAACTTGAGGCACTTCGGCCTCGAAAGTGGGACAGACTGACTGATCGCATGTATGTTCTTGTCAAGTATGAGTTTCGAATGGGTGTTCGTATCTTAGCTAACCTCCCAATCTGTCTGTTCCAGTGAGGTTAGAAGAGCCGGGGGAGTCGTCTGAAGTTCCAACGATGTTCATTGAAAGGTCTGGTTAGATTGTTTTCGCAAACAAATTGGAAGCCGATGACAACGGAGTCGCTACTGCCCAAAGGAGGTGGGATTGCTAAGTTGCCTATCAGGAGTTCTTCATTTGTGAAGACGCAGTCTAAGCGAGGTGGGGTTTGAGCCCCCCTAACTCGCGCTACCTTTCTCACATTTTCCGTAAGTCCCAGCCCCTCAATCAAATGGAAGAATCTGGCTTCAGTGGAATCATCGCTGCCGCTAAACGTGCGATCTGTAAAAATGACCTTCAGTAGGCTAGAATCCTCTAGAATCAGTATGTGTGTGCACCACGGTTTAAGAGAGCAGCTGGTTGCCTCCAGCATCTGGTTGTCCTATTGTGAATCAGTAGACAGTTTTCTGTAAATGACTCCCACCAAGCCCTTTGTAGTCTTGGACAGCTTTATGGTGCACCAAACGGACTCTTAAAGGCATTCCAGTTCTTGGATATGGATTTGGTGGGCTAAGAGAGAGGAGCTGACGTAAAGTGCTACCCCACCCCCTTTGCCAGCCTTCCTGTCACTACGAGACAGCGTGGTATTAGCAATTGCCAGTTCCTGGTCTGACATGTCAGACAAAGCTCATGTCTCAGTAACACCGAAAGGGTGAGCAAAAGTGTCCCTACTTAGGTCCCGCAGCTCGTCAAGTTTGTTTAGTAAACTTTGTGCATTAGTGTAGATGCAGTTTATGCTCTGTACTTGGAATGTCACGCCTGCACCCTCTCTATTTCCCAATTGACTGGCTGGTTCCTCGGGAGTGTGGGCTGGGAATGTGCCTAATTGCTGACTGCTAGTGTAGTGTTCCCGCCCTTCCCTGTTTTTTTTGCATCTAGACAGTCTTTCAGAGATACAACTAGTTCCAGGGTTTCTGTTTTCTTTGCAGCCTTTCCCATCCGGGATACCACAGCTATGGCAAGCGAGTGTGTAGACCTACTGCATCGGAATAAGCCAAAGGCCTAGAGCAAATGTGCAAGGCCTAGGAGCGACAAGTTAGCTTTCACAAGCTCCTAAAATGAATTGTGTATTGAATTATTGCACCGACCATGGTTAGGCGCTCGTATGACCTTGAACACATTCGTGTAACGAGGTTCGCATTTAACGCGCATTTCAATGTTGTCGTTTGAGCCTATCAGTCGTCTAACTGTCGTAAGTACTTTTTGTGAACTTCACGTTGATGAAACTGCTCTTCATGTGGAATCCGTAGGCTTCAAGAAGTTTCACTTTTCATAAAATCATCTTTCATTGGCAGTTGACTGTTGCCTATTTAATTAAATAAGCAATTGGACACCGTTGTTTTTTAAATTAGCAATAATCTGGAGCTGCAAAGCAAGATATCACTGAAGAAGTCTTCATGGTTCGCAAGCTATTCTGGCACACCTTTAAGCTTCCAACGGAACCTAGTTAAGCATCCGAAAAATGTTTCTGACTACGGATTGTTTTGAATGCCCTCCTGGGTTTTCGTAAACTCTGAGATCACTTCGGAGTTTCTGGAAACTCGAGGCAACGACTTATGTAAATACTGAGGTTTTTGGGAAAGCCTCTAAGTCTTTTCGTGGCAGTGTTTAACATCTTTAACTATAGTTTCCCGCATTATATATATATATATATATATATATATATATATATATATGTATATACTATCTGTAAAACCTCTCCAAGGCAGAAGAGCAAATTTCTGACGTTCCGAGATCTAATGGAGATCTCTTATACGTTTGGCTACGGAGGCAACCTTTCTTGCACAAAAGTTCCAAGGTGCACCCAATGTGCTTGGTGGTTGCTGCGATTCACTTCGAATTTTCCAGAGTTCTTACTTACTTTGACGTACAAACGTAGTAGCCCAGTGTCCGTGGTAGCGGTAATTTCTAAGTCTAGTCTTGCTCTGAAAGTATGCCGTGCGGTTAAGTTCTCTAGTGGTCCAACTTGTGAGTGAAACGTTCCAACTATCGGCGATTTGACAGCGGTTAATGAATTCTTGGATGCTATGTTTTGAGATGGGTTGCTCTAGAAGGGAAGTTTGAATAAATTGTTATAAAAAATACTATACGTTAAAATAAGACCATGTCTCGTCCTATGGCAAGACCGGCAAAAGATGTGATCGATCTGATCTTCCTTCGTGGGAGAGGTAGGAGTACCCTTTGACCATCTTGTTCCCTACCGCCCGAACCCTCTCTGTTTTATAAGCTTCATGTTTGCAACATGAGTTCGCTGCTTGGATCCCATGCCGCATATATGGTGTAACATGCAGAATACAGGACCGAGAATATATTCTTATCAAAGCTCCATAGGGCTCTTCCAGAGGACCACAAGCCTCGAAAGCATTTGACTGCTGCCACCTTGCAGTTAGTTGATGTTTTAAGGTACTGACTAACTGTGATGCTGAAGTCTTTCTAATCAGCTACCTTAGGTAGCAGCATGTAGTTAGTCGAGTGGTCATGTCGATCTTTGTGACCTGTTCGAATGACTACACTCTTGGTGGAATTAATTTGTAGATCCCATCTTGTGGAATAATCTACTAGAGCATTTAAGTCATCCTGTAAAAGCAGCCTATCTTCATCACTGAATAAGTTCATGGAACCTGACAGCGTCTACCAGCATGAGGATGATAGACTTAGTTATCCTGGGGAAGTTTGTGTAGAGTAGAAAGAGAAACAAACCTCAGATAGTGTCTTGAGGGACTTCACTCCTTACTTGTCATCACAATGACAAAACTTCATTTAGCCTTTCACTCTATCTTCTGTCCCAAATTAAATCTTTGATCCAGTCACTAACTACATCACCGACCCCCAAAACTTCCAACTTCCTATTTGAGCCTACGTAAAAGACTTTATCGAAAGCTTTGCTGAAGTATGAAGGTTACATCAGTCGAAACATTCATATCACTGGCAGCAATCCAATCCTTTCTTGCAGTGATGAGATTTGTTAGAGACGAATGACCAGCCTAAAACGCATGCTGGTCCACAGCCAAAGCCTATTTCCATCGACATGTAATAAATTGTTATTTTAGGTGGTTTTTTCCTAACGTCTAACTACTAAGCTGGTTAGAACAACCGTACGATAGTTAGTCATCAGATATCTGTGACCAGTTTTATAGGCTGTACTGATGATGGCATCTATCCAACTTCTGGTTTATTTAGGTTGATTCACTGAAGTACTAAACAGCCAAAATGTCGGTTTGGAGAGGGTATCCGCTTGGCTTATAACATATGAATGTAACTCATCTAGTCCGCAGTTCTTGTCCATGTCTGTGTTCTGGAGCAGTCTTAAGATGACATCGTCTTCAATGGGTATTGGTTTCATTCATAGGATGTCGCAAGTGAAAACGGTTTTGGAGCACTAAATACAATAATACTTAGTTGAAGTACTGTGATAGTGCCTCAGCCTTATTCGTATTATTATTACCACCTATATGCTTTGAATCTTCATTTAGTATCAGGGCTGGGATGCCTTCGTTCCTTTTTTAATTTGAGAGCATAACGTTTTAGAATGGTGCTTGAAATCCTGGACGAGCTCCTCACAGATTAACCTAGATATTCTAATTAGTCTTTTAAAAGGCTTTCCGATATCACAGAATGGTGGTCTGCAATGACCAAGACCCATCGTGATAAGGTTTTAGTATCTTTTTTTCAACCAATTGGTTTTGTACCCTACCCAGGTATTTATGAATAGTTAGTAGGTCTACGCGGGACTGACCAACGTATGAGGGCATGTAGTACTTTCAAGGGTGATCTTAAATTTACTCCACGCATCACCACTGGACGAAATCACATCAGCTGACCAGTTTATCGATCAGGTTGGACAAAGTCGTAGACTATATCACAAACTTCCACGTCTAATAAAAAAGCTACATGGTCACTGTTTGCTAATGAAGAGAGAATATTTAGTTTGGATATGTCATCCACTTCATGAGTTAGCACAAGATCTAGTAAATAAGATCTCTAAAGGGAACCAAAATGTGTAGCATAACAAAGTAAAGTAGTTTACTATCGAGTGAATTAAGCAATCCTATTAAGGATATTTCAACTTCATTTACACTGGATGCGTTGGAATGTACATTGTGGCAGTGGTTGTTACTCCGATCGCTGACACACTATTATAAAGTCAATCCGACAAGTTTGATTTGTAGACCATGCTAACAGCAGACAGATAAATAAAATCAACGTAGAACCTCGCACACAAGTGCATTGATTTAAGCTGTCACACTTCACAGTAGTATAAAAAGAACAAATGGATACAATAAGAGTAATATCAAAGTAGACAAATTGTGGGGGAGAAAAAACCAGTTGAAGACCACGGTTAGTGCAAATATTCAAGCTTTAAAAGACATCAGGGAGTGAATACGTCTACGGCATTGAGACCGATTTTTAGCCATATCACCAAGTGTCCTCAACCACTGCTATAATCTCGAGGACCCCTAGCAGGTCATCTACATCTCCCCAAGGCTCAGACTAATGCTACGCAGACAACTATGATCAAAACCCCATAACTGCTTCTTGTCTCTTACTTTTAACGCCCATGTCTCAGCCATATAACAGGACGGAACAGCCTGCAGCGCAGAATACCCGTCTTTTGACCGATGGTCGGATGTCTTACTGGTCAACGCAACAAATGACGCAAGTTGGCAAAGGTAAAACGGACCCGAGCTGAGATTTCATCAGCAACCAGGTCGTTCGAGCTGATACAACTCCTTAATTAAGTGAAGTGATCGACATATTCCATCACTTCACTGCTTATCATTAGACTGGTAGTGATTGCAGACCAATCTTGGAGCATCATCCTACATTTGACATATGCAAAGCTCATGCCAAACGTACTCAGATTTCTGCTCAATACGTTCAAAACACTGCATTTTGATAGCATCTTCACTCGGAAAGACAATATCTTCTGCATACTTCAAGTCAAGCTTATATCAGTCTCTGTTAAGTCAGACGTATTTAAGGTTATATCCATTAGTACGTCTATGATGAAGTTAAATAAGAACTGTGACGATGGACATCGCTGGCGAATACCACTAGTTGTCATGAATTCACATGATAACTCTCCATAAGCCCCCCACACAGCTGCGGGAGTTCAAGTGGAGAGCTTTGATTGGCGTTATATAATTTCCCAATACTCCCTTCATAGCCACAACACCTCACATTTAACAGAGTCAAATACCGCCTTCAGGTAAACAAATATGACAAATGTTGGCTGCCGATATGTATTGCTGTGTTCGAGAACCTGTTGGAAAGTGAAAATGTGGTCGAAGAGCCCGCGTCCGGGTCTGAAACCTGTCTGGTTTTCTCCAGCTTCAATTAGGCGTCGGATGACTATGAATCCTAGGATCTTGGACACAATATTGGTCAAACTAATTCACCTATGGATGTTATGGAAAGACCTTTCCGTTCTTATAGACAGATGACCAGAGAAGTAGACCAGTCTGATGGCGCTGCCTCGGATTCCCACATACTACCTAGTATCTCCACTTAACTTAGTAATTTGCTGCCTTTGGGTGGCAAACTGTCACGTTCTGTGGCTTTGCATCGTTTCAGGTTCAATACAGCTTTCCCAACTTCATGGAGAGTTGGACAGATATCTGCTTTCCTTTCCGGTTCAAACTGGAAGTTGTGCAGGTGAAGCGTTGCTATTTGCCGGTTGATCTGTGCTTCAAATTATTCTGCTCGACATTCTAGCCGCATGTTCTGGGAGGTTATCAGCGTCACATCCTTTTCAGTGATGGTTTTACTAACCATCCTTTTCTTCTGACCGGTATCCTCATATTTAATAAGCCTAAATAATTGCCTAGTGCTTTTCCCATCTATCTCTTTTGCCACCCACCACCACAAAGATTCTTGACCAGTCTACGTAGCAGTTGCATTCGCTTGTCATTGTGGTCAGGACCTCGTTGAATCAGCCTTATCGCATCAATTAGTTCTGATGAGGTTTCTGAAATCCGATGACTTGTTGACCTCTCAATGTAAGCTACCAGCTGCTATCATCACTGTTTCTGCAGTGGACTGAATATCACGCCAGGACTCTTCAGTATCAGCATTGTTGTCATGTTCAGATAATGTTTGCCAACTCCTCTCTAAATGCTTAATTTACAGTGTCATCTTCCAATCGAGTACAGACAGGCTTCAGCGCGACTTGTTTTCTGCCACCAGCAAGAAATAGGTATACACGAGCCCGTACCAGTGCACGATCAAAGTTCAAACACGTACTCCCGAAAGGGCGGCAATCGTCCACCGATAATATACCAATATGATGTGTTTATTGTTTGTTTGATGTTGGTGGATACTACGTGAGACAGTGGCTTTACTTTTGCCTATAGTTAACGCTGGGCAGAAACAAGTGATTGTCGGGACAAAATTGCCAGATACGATCACTTGTCCGTTCGTTGGTATGGGACACTATAAGTATCCCCCAACAAAAACTATACATCCGTACAAGTAGACTTTACAGCTAATGATCTTACACGTTTCAATCGAAACTAAGATGAAACATTCCTTATTACTAAGGTTTGTGAGAAGTTTGAAAGTTGGCTTCATGAATTTAATGCTTACTGTGAAGCTCTGTAAGTAAGAAATATGTAAGTTATGGGAACTTCATATCCAGTATACAAGAGTTAGATTTCAATGGTTCACTAAAGCGACTTTCTAAAAAGCCTTAAGACTGCTCTCAATGGAAAAAAATTGAATAATACGTTGACTTTCAGCAAAAAGGAGCAAACATTTGTTTACACAAATACTAGTTAATAATAGATTTTTGATTTTGAACAACTGTCTTCTGTGAAACACTGCCTGTTTTCAATTCTCATTTGATGCTGTATACTCTAATATTCACTAGCAGGCTACTGAGTCAATTCAATAATTCAACTTTAATTTGTGTATCTCGCGAAGTTGATTTTCTTTGCAATCAACGAATGCTTCTCACAAACTCACTCACTAGGTTCTGTGGGATTAAGCTAATTGTCTGTAGAAAATAAAGTAGTTGATCTGCATTGAGGATATCAGTGTCAGATTATATAAGGCTTAACTTCTTTTTGAACAGATTTTAACTATTCTTTGAGTACTGACTGTCGCATAATCATTTCTTGAAACTTGTTTCCAGTTTGGGGGTTTGTGGGACTTTATTGATTTCATGTTGGTATTCATCGTGGAGGGACATTGGGAAACCGGGAGCACTAAACAGCCGTTTCGTCCTAGCATGGGCTCCTCAGCGGCGCGCACCCATGACCCTGTCGGGAATCGAATCCAGGACCTTTAGGTCCTGTGGCCAGTACGTTACTATTGAGCCGTTGAGTTAGAGTTCTATACTAGGACGAAACGGCTGCCCAGTGCTCCAAGGTTTCCAATGTTCTCCCAACTGGTTTTAGTCCAGGATGAATACCAACATGAAGCTTGTTTTACTTACATAGTAAACGATTCTTTTATTAACGTCATTTGTTGGTTTTTTCTAATTTGCTATTTTCTCCATGCACTATGATGTGTTTTTGTGTGTAAGCTAAGGTTCTTATAAACTACAAAATGTGCCGACCTTTTTCATGTCTACCTTTTAGAGACCTAAGACAGCAAGTTTCAAAAAACGCACCATATTATTTGAATAGGAAGCTTAAATAGGCTAGAAGAAACTTTATAGACTGAAAATGAAGTATCCTGGTTTTGATACGATTTCTTGGCAATAATTTTGCGCCAAGTTTCTTTTTCTTGTGAATATTGAAAAGTTAGATATAAATGAGTTTGTTGTTTTTAACGATATCGAGTCGTGTTGTCATTTACTACCACCTCTAAAATTCATTGAGTTTATTTTCATAAGTCGAATAATTGGTCACTGGACTCATGAAATGTTCCCGTTCATTGTCCAGTCACTTTTAACAGTCTGTAATAAAAAAAAAGTAAGTCGGGGTGACTGACTATCAGTTAACTTTGTGTAGTATACCATAACTATTGTAGCTGGTGCAAGTTTCTGTAGATTGCATAGTTGTAAAAACAATATCATGTAACTAGTACTATATACGACCAAGGAAGCGTTATCTGTTAGTGTAGTAATTCACACTTTTATTTCTTGTTTACACTAGTGTAGTTGAGCTGAATTCGTTTTAATACAAATCCACCGTGTAAAATTGATATGTCGTTACTTTTTAATCAGTGGTATAAATTAGCCAACTTAATTTTAACTGTTCAGTAATTTAAATATTATTGCAGTTTATAGATGTCAGTCTCCGTCAGCATAGGATCAGGCGTTACTGTCCAACGGTCCGAGTTACAACACCTCATAACAGCACAACAAGTAACAAAGCAGTTAGTTGAAATGTGAATAAAGAGAGAAAAATCGATGAAAAGGAGGAATGAGAAAATTCTGAATCCAGTTTAGCGGTTAAAATGAAGATAAAGTGTGTACACATCTGCGCCGCTGTCATCGATTCTGAGCCACCATACATCACACATCACTAATTTCTGTTGTCAGGTGGAATCCCAACCGGTTAGTCTGCATCTCCCAACATGACTCAAACCATCAACCAAAGACTTCATTCAGTGATGCCACATTTTTGTCTGACCGCCTCGACCCCTTTTTCCAGCCTGATCCCACTCTAACCAACATTGTACGACAAGGCAGAGGGTCAGTAGGCATGTGCAACACTGTCCCAGCCATCTCAGTCGAAGGTTCAAGACCTTATCAACTGAGTTTCTTTTCCTTCCTAAAACTTTGCACCTGACTTCTGCTACTCACATGTTGACACCCATGCTATGAAGCTAACGGTTTTCGAACACCTGAAGCCTTCTGATGTCTTCTACCTTTAATGGCTATGTTTCCTAGCCCTTTGAGTAAGCCGAAGAAAACTGCAGCACAGCATACTCAACACCTGATAAGCAGTCGGATGTCGTGGTAGTGCCATAGATGGTGTAAGTTGACGAAAGCCAACCGAGCCTTTTGTATTCATGGGAAGAGTTCGCTGGTTGCTGACCCACCAGGGCTGATCTGACTTCCTAGGTAAGTGAATTGTTCAACACACCCAACTACTTCACTTTATTGTTAGATGGCACCGCTGAAGATCAGTCTTCGAGCAACCATTTGCATTTGGGTGGTGCAAAAAGCATCATAAACATTCCCAAATCACCACTCAAGGTTTCCAGAAGACTCTTCATCTTGTAGCGTCTTCACTTGACAGGACTAAATCATTTGCGTATTCTAGGTCTGCTAAGGATTTTCCTGTGATTGGGCTAATCCCTATGTAGTCAGATGAAGAAAGGAAGACCTCCACAATAATATCTATGATAAAATTGAACAGAAATGGAGAGAGTGGGAATTGTTGACTAACAACATTCGATGTACACGGCTCACCTGACAACTCACCATAGGCTCTTACACGCCGATGAATGTTCGGGAAAAGAGCTTCCGAGAAAGTGATGTACTTGCTCGATGCGTCTTTTAGTTTATAGGGATTCATTTTATGCAGCCTATTATTTTTCTTGTACATACATGTACACATATGTTTTCAGTAATCCTTTCGTCTTTCTGATTTTTAGGTTAAATGTTTGGGACCACGTTTAGTTTTATTTTTCAAAACATTTGCTTTATTCTATGTTCTTTATCCAAAAGATGAGTCAACTATTGGTTATTGCTTTTTCAAATGTGCTCCCATTTTGTCTCTTATCGGTTTTGTCTATTTATATGGTGTTAAAATGTCAAACAATCAGTCTTATTCATTGAAAATACTTTTTGGTCTCTTATTTTCTTGTTTGGGTGATGCATGTTTAGTGTGGCCGAAATATCTTATCCCCGGTATGGGCTTATTTGCTATAACGCATATATTATATGTGTATGCATTCGGTTTTCAACCTTTAAAGCTATCCATATTGTTCACATTACTTCCTGTATTGATTTGGGTTTGTATACATGTGAGTGAAGGTTTTAACGGTATAACTGCTTTGGTTGGTCCATCATATGGATTACTCTTAGTGTTAATGATCTGGCGTGCAATAGCTCAACTTACAAAACATAAGCATTCAATACCTTGGACATCAATTGCTTGTGCACTAGGTGGATTATTATTTGGTCTATCGGATGGTTTACTAGCGAATAGTATATTCTTGGAAGATAAATCATTTATTTCCAATTTTGTCTTACCAACATATTATGCTGGTCAGTTATTAATCGCTGTCTCTGTTGTTGACAGCCAGTTGACATCAATCAAAATGAATTCAAATTATACCAAAAAGAATATAGGATAGTTATTCCCGTTTACTTTTTCTTTTTTGAATATGTTGTTATAGTTGTTGTCTTTTTCTTTAGTCTTCAATTATTCTCAAGGTGTATTTATATTTATTTGTTTATTGACAAATATATTAGTTTATTTCACACTGTCCGTTTTGATATCATCTAAACACACCTATACACTTCCTCTAGACTTCTTTTCAAAGTCAGTTAACAGTATTCTGATGAAGTTTGATTCTGTTCATGTTGTTGATAGGTGAAATGATTGTGTTTTCGCCTGGTTTTTCACATCTTCCTAAGTATCGTTTGTTAGTCAAGTGAATAGGCACGTTTTATTTTTCTCACCTTATATTTATTACCATCCTGAATAAAGTCAAGTAAATTGTATTATACTATCATGAGATAGATACTTCACGTAACCACTTTTTCATCTCTTACCATAAACTCAATCTGACATGGTTTCTGTGTGTAATATTTATTTCAAATAAAGGATATATACATATTAAATAAACTTTTAACTATGAAACTCTAGATACCTTCACGCAATCCAGCCTAGATAAAAGGTTAGTGTTAACAAGTATCTTACATTAGTTAGCTTTAAAACACACAATGTTGGCTGAGGTGGGTCCAGGCTGGAAAAAGGCCCGAGGTGGCCAGACTAAAACATGGCACCAATGTATGAAGTCTGTGACTGTTGGCTTAAGCCATGTAGGACGATGCAGACTAGATGGTTGGGGTCCACGGGACAAGAGGAACCAGCGGTTGGAGACCCTAGGTGATATGGCTGAGAACCGAAGTCAGTGGTGCAGATGTATACACACATTATCCTCATCTTAACAACGCTATGCCGAATCTCACTATTTTGTCACTCCTCTTTCCTTTCTTCTCGTACTTTATATTTCCTTTGACTGCATTGACTTATCTTCATCCTTCACCTCACTACCTTTTTACTTAATGTGCTGATATGAGGTGTGGCAACTCGGACCGTTACGCAGTAATGCCTGGTCCTATGTTGATAATGATGATGATGATGATGATAGCTTTAAAACAATTATAAAATTTAGTTCACCAAATTATTGTAGTTTTCATCATCATTACCCATCATCAAGATCAACATTACTGCATAATGGTCCAAGTTGCCACACCTCATGTCAGCACATCAAGTAAGAAGGCAATGGAATGGAAGATGAAGAAGGAAAGAAAAATCGGTCAAAGGAAGTAGAAGGAGAAAGTGATAAAAGAGAGGAAGGAAGAATCGGAAAACGATGAGATTGAGTATACTGGTTAAGACTAGGATAATATGTGTTATACTTCTGTGCCACTGACATTGATTCTGAGCTATATCACCTAGAGTTTCCAGCCACTGGTTTCTCTTGGCCCGCACACACCAACCGGCTAGTCTGCATCACCGCAAATGACTCAAACCAACAGTCAAAGACTTCATGCACTGATGCCATATTTTAGTCTAGTCGCCCTGACTCTTTTTCCACTTTGAGCTTACTTCGGTCAACATTGCGTAAGGAGACAGACGGTGATTAGGCATACGTAACACATGTCTCAGCCATCCCAGTCCATGAAGGTCCATAACCGTATCAACTGACTTGCCTCTCTTTCGTAAAACTTTGCACCTGACTTCTGTGTCACTCACGTGGTGACACCACGATACACGGCCGATGCTACGAAGACAGCGGTAGTTAAACACCCGAAACCTCATGTTTTCTACCTTTAATGCCCATTATAGTTTTGGTCTGGTAACAAAGACAGTCATCTGAAGATTGTGACTTTTTATATAGAGGGATTTTTGAAACTATTTACATATTATAACTAGGTCGAATTGTTCGACCTCTGTTGGCATATGGACTCCTATGCAGACGGCTCCTTATTGTCTGGATATTTATTATGAGAATTTACTTGGTTGTAGCTGGTGGAAGAATCCAGGACGTGCTTTTTGTCCCATTTGGGACTTGTCAGCTGGATGTAGCTGCACCTCAGTGATTGGTGTTGTCCTTATTGAAACTCGAACCTCGTGCCCGTCGCTTCAAACACCTGAGCGTTATCCACTAGGCCACTTAACACGATAACCACCTCTTGTACAACGAGTGTTAGTGTTAACTATTTGTTGATATGCTTGTAATTCTCCGTTCTTTTACTGCTGTGTGCTATTAATGAAACTTCGTCAGTAAGAGTTAGTGTATGGATCTTTAGTTTGTCTGTTGACAGTCTAGAGTTATATACAGGTTCACTGTTTATTCTTTATGTTATCTGACATGAGGTTAAGCTGATTAGTATTCCTGTTTTCACTATATATTGTATCCCTATGTTTTGCAAAAGTCGTAAAATATGATCACTTTTTTTATCATTAAAGAATAACTGAAATATAAGCATTCCTCAGTAAGGGGGGCACATGTACTGTATAGCAGTCCGCTCTCTTCTACTATGTGGCTGTGAAACATGGCCGTTGAAGACAGAAGACATGAGAAGGCTGGCTTCAGGTGTTTGACCACCGTTGCCTTCCTAGTATAGGCCGCATTCTGTGGTGTCACGACGTGAGTAACGCAGAAGTCGGGTGTAGAGTTTTAAGGAGAAGAGGTAAGTCAGTTGACACGGTTGTGAACGTTCATCGACTGAGTTCGCTGGTTGGGACATGTGTTACGTATGCGTAGTTGCAGATTGTCTCGTCACACAATGTTGACTGAAGTAGGTTGAGAATGGAAAAAGGCCTGAGGCGGCGAGACCATAATATGGTACGAGTGGATGAAGTGTGTGACTGTTGGTTTGAGCCAATGTGGGACGATGCAGACTGTGTTGTTTGGGGGGGGGGGGTCTGTGGGAGGAGAGGAACGAGTGGTTGGAGACTGTAGGTGATGCATCATGACTGAGAACGGATGTCAGTGTTGCAGAAGTATACACACATTATCCTCAACTTAACTATGCTATACTGAATCTCACCATTTTGTCATTTTTCCTTTCCCTCTTTTCGTACTTTATATTTCTATTGACTGAATTTTCTATCCTTGTTGATCTTTCAGTTGACTGTCTTTTTACTTGATGTAGTGATAGGAGGTGTGGTGGCAACTCGGACTGTTACTCAGTAATGCCTAGTCGTATATTGATTGAGATAGATAGATAGGTTCCTCGGTAAAGCGTACATTCTCAATGCATATAAATTTCTCTTTGATCTTTCTTGTGCTTTATTTTTATATGACAAGGATGTCTAAAGTTTCATCTTACGTCATAAAGTAGTCTAGATGAGTTTTGAAGATTTGTTAATAATTTATTTCGATTTCTTGTTAATACAATTTAATTGAGTAGATAAATCTATGTCAAAAGTGGATAATTTAGTCAAGTAATGGTTACTCAATAACTGTGATTATTACACAATTCATTGATGAATCTGCCTAAATATGAATTTATACACCTAAAACTTGAATAGTTATGAAGTGTAGCCTCATTTAAAAAAACAAACATAGAGTTGTAGCTCACTGGTTTAACTCGCTCAACTTTCAACTAGTAGGTTACAGATTTGAAACATATTCCACTTGTTGAAATTTGGATAGCTAAGTAGCATTAAACGTGTATGTGGTTGGTGAGTAAATTTCGAATTTTTTCAATTACTCACAGCTTTCTAGGTGTATCACAGATGGCATAAATGGTAAGGATCAGTTGGAAAGTTATTTGTACTGCTTTACTAATCGTCATTTATCACTACGTTTTCACATCATGAGTGTTTTTCTTATTGTCTGTTTGTCTAACTTGTAATTCTATCTTCTATTCTTTCTTTCTTTTCGGAATTTTAGGTGTTAAGTATACACTTGGCGATTCCCTAACCTAATGTTTAGGATATTGTGGAGAATATTTGTAGCTCAAGTGAATGGTCTTGGTTGTATTATGTTCTCTGAGCTAGCTGGGTTGTTTAATCGTGAAGCTTTCATCGCCTTGCTAGACGACATCATCAGCACTAACTTCAGTATGAGTGATCACTCACGATGAAAGCTTAACGATTAAACAACCCAGCTCAGAGAACATAATACAACCAAGACTGTTCAGGATAGTTGTCAAGTGGCTAACTGAATTAATTTATGATTTAAGGTATCAATAATTTAGACATAGTAGTCGTGAGTACATATAGTCAATCCAGTAGAATCATTGCTGGTATTATACTTAATCACTATTTTGTAGACAATTATTGCTTTCTAAAACTTCATTTGTTTATACACTGTAATCACTAGGTAGCTTCTTACCAACTGCTTCCAACCATGTAACATACTGACGTTATATGAATTGGTCGTATCAGAGTATTTTTATATTGTGAATTGAGATCAACACCCCTGTACAAATTATGACAAATCTCATCGAAAAAAAATAATAAAGATCTATTGTGTATCTCAGTGTTTTCGAGTTTAGGATAATCCTATATATATAAACTGAGTATTATGTGGGTTAAGAAGAATATTGTTGAATTTTTGCATAGTTCACTGGATAATTAAGTTTTTTTAGTTGTTCCGAAAAGATTTTTTTCGACCAATTTGTTTTCATGTTTTTTCTTATACTATCCCGTTGTCGATTGATCCGTCTTTATTAGCATCTGGGATCTTGCATTGTTGTCTCGATGATGTCCGTCATTTCAATTTGATAGTAAATGATGGAATTCAGGACGCATGTTTCGTCCTATTTAGGACTTTCAGTAAGAAATGTTGTTCCCACTGACAGTCGAACTCCGGGACTGATCATTTCACACATAGTAGAGCGTTATCCGTTAGGCCACTGGGTCACGGTAGTCACTTCTACGATAGGTATAGTTTTTTTTCTAATATTATTGTTTGTATTATCCTGTCGTTATTTATTTTATGTTCTTACTTCTAATTTTTTTTTGTGGTGCTAAAGATCAAACACAAGTTGTACATTTTTCTTTATATTTGAAGAAGACTCATTAAAAATGAAATCAAATCAATTGTGTATGACTAGACTCAGTGATCGTTTACTTCCTATCCATCCGAATAATTTGAATAAAGTTATGCACAGTGAATGGGAGTCGATTTCACAATGGTTATATGATGTTCTTTCATCTGGTGATATTCTGTGTGAAATTAGTGCAGTATTCACTTCAATTCGAAGGTTAGTATAATGTAGTATTTACAATTTACGATAATCATGAGATTCTATTTTATACAGGGAAGTTTATACATGTAGCCTAGGTTTTGTGGTTATTAATATGTACAAAAAGGGGGAAATCTATGGAATGGATATCGATCTTATCATCGAACAGTCCTATGTGTATACTAATGAATCGATGTTACCCCGGGTATTGACCATGTCATCGACGTGTATGATATACTGGGATCCTTAATGTTTATTTGTACTGCTAAATTTTTTAGCTTATTTTGTGGTGCTTCTGACACCTCAATCTCTGTTACCTCACTGTTTTCCTGCATGGTGAATAACCCGTACTTTGTTGCCACTATTCCTGCACCCATTTATCTCAAAAAATCAACACCTAGGATTGTCAATTGTAGGCACGTGGTGACAATGAATGGAAATCCAATTTTACGACTTCCAATCTTGACGACACCATCTGATAACTCTAATGCATGTCCTGCAACTGTGTGGGCCGTTAGTACACATGGTCTTGTGTTCTGAGACTGACTCTTATCTATCAATGAGACTGCCACCGCTGTATCTATTAGACACACGATCTCCCGATCACTTATTAGCATTCTAGAATACACAGCACCTCTATCTATGGCCAGCTCACTAATATCCATGGGTTGGGCTGCGTTCACCAGTCGTAGTTGCTGGGCGATGGCATTCGGGACACTTTCGGTTGTGCAGCCAACAACTGTACCTGGGAGTCCTCATCCAAAGTGGGAAGTGCTCGTCGAAGTAGTTTTGGCAATTTCATACCGAATATTAGCGGGTCTTCGTCGATTGCAAGTTTCGTGCTCCGAGACTACTGAATCGCCAGCTCCCTGTTCGCTGGGCTGTCATACTCCACCTCCAGTCGTTCAACCATTCTCTCTCAAGTCTCCTTCCCATCCACACGTTTCATGCCGTCATGTTGCCACTTTCTTTGTACCCCTTCAGGAAAGTGCTAAGCACCATGACCTTCGCTGCTAGATCCCGGACACCCACCAGCTTTGCGACCGACTCGAAGTCCCTGAGGAAGACCTTGATATGTCCATCGTCGAACACTGCAGACCACGGGATCTTCATCACGTCCAGATGCAGTGATACTAATTGTAGAAAACGACAAGATGGAGATGAAGAAAGGAATGTTTGTTGTTGACATGTAGTACAGTAGTCATCAAATATTGTACACCTGCACTAAGACAGTCATTTGCATAGTGTGCTTCATTTCTTGTTCTACTTCTGTCTTGATTTGCTCTTAATACGCCCACATTGTCTCTTGCTTTTCTCGGGGCTGAATCCTTACTCGTCTCTGGTAATTGCCTATGATTTCTGCCACCCTCTCAACATATACTGCTTATATCCATTCTGATCAATAACACCTACTGCTATTGTACATGGTGAAACTAACTGACTATTGGTCTGAGTCTTGAGAGGGGATGTAGACTTGCTGGTGGGAGATGATAGGAACCAGTGACTGAGAAGTCTCCGTGACATGGCTAAAACTCGGTCTCAGTGGTGAAGATGTATCCGCTCCTTGACATCTCTTAAACCTCAAATATTCACACTAACTGTGATTTTCAGATCGTTTATTCTCTAACACAACTATGCCTACTTTGATATCAGTCTTTTTCTACCCACTTGTTCTTTTTGTATTATTCTACGTTGATTTTGTCTGTCTTTCTAAGTAGCTTAGACTCTTGATTCCAAATTATTTAGAAGTAGTATTCGTCATGGACTGACATCAGTTGGGGAACCATCGGAAATCTGGGAGCACTGGATAGCTGTTTCGTCCTAGCACGGGACTCCCTAGTAGTACGCACCCACGACCAGACCAGGGGTCGAAGCCAGGACCTTCAGGTATCATGGTGAACGTGTTAACCATTCAGCCACTGGGTCATTCTCCAGTGGTTCACAATTTCCAACTTCTTTCAATTCACGACATAGTGTGACTATCACCCAAGGTCTTCAGTTAGCATCCACTTCACATACGACTGGTTGACCCCACAGGTCACGGTTCCTCATTAGAGCTTCCTGATATCCATCTGGAAGCAAGTCACTAATGAGCACTATACAGTGCTCCCAGATTTTCAATGGTTCTCCAACTAATATCAGTCCATGATGAATACTACTTCTAAATTAAAAATCCCTATTCATCTCAATAATCTAAATTATTTGTTCATGGATTGAAGCTTATAATTTCCAAATTAAGTTATGAACAGTACACTGTATGTTAGTCTTATTAAGAACATGTATACGGTTAGTAAGTTGTATATAATGATTTACCTTAACCACTAGCCCCCAATTATCATAGTAATCTCGTTATAAATATCAGTTGAACTTGAAATTACACTGCGAAGAAATGGTAGTACAAAAAGATATCAGTTATGTTCCGTTTTTTTAATGGGCTAAAAGGAAAACTAACCATGCGATTTCAGGTGGAAATTAATCCTCTATTCGTCATCGATAACCTCATTTTTACCACACACGCACACACCACCCTGTTTTACGTTAATCTTCAGTTTTGAACCATACCTCCGGCTCTAATTTATCTTGCCTGAAGATGTATTATTTTTTACAAGATCATAAAACTCCATTTCAAGTATTAGCTCGCATCATACTTCATCTCTACTCATAGCCACTTAGTTTTCTCAATTTAAAAGTCATTGGAAAGCTGTGAGTCGAATCCTTTGATGAAGTTGTGCCTCATTCATTTGAGGAGATGGCTTTCAACCACTGGGTCACTTGTTCGAACCCTGCCCTACTTACTGAGTTTTTGCCATTTAGATAGCATCATTAGCCCTCATACAATATATGTGGCTCATTTTGCCTACTACATGAACGTGAATATGGTTCCTAATTACGTTGCAGTTCTTGAAAGAATCAGTTTTCATGCTTTTCCCACTGTATCTCAATCAGATACAAATTCCATGCCTAAGTAGGTGTATTTTTCAGACTATTCTGTATCCCCTTAAGTCTTCGGGGAAAATTGTAGTAGACTGACTATCATAAGCAAAATGATACTCGTGAGTTCGATGACTAATTTAGTTATTCATTTTTGTCATATTTGTTGGTGTTGCTGATTCTATGACAAGATGGGAGACCATTTTTGGAAGGAGTTCTTGACGTACAAAATTGGCCACTCATCTCATCAGTCAACTTTCAATCAATGAGTAAGTGGTTCGATTACCACTCAATCTGAAGAGTATAAAATGGCCAGGAAGTATCACTATATTTTGCAGACAGACAAAATCAACTTAGAACTTCCTACACAATTGCATCGGTTGAAGTTATCACATATTAAGGTAGGCAAAGTTGTATGGGAGAATAAACAATTCCAAGATCACGGTTAGTGTAAATATTCAAGGTTTAGAAGACATCAAAGAGTGAATACATCAGTACCACTGTGACTCATTTTCAGCTATATCACCAAGAGATCTCAACCACTGATTGTTTTCATCTCGGAGACCTCAGTCAACCAGGTAGTCTACATCTCCCCTACACGACTCAGATCAACAGTTAGAAATTTGTGCTGACTCCAGGTGTTGGTTTAACCACCCTGAGCCCTTTTCCAACTTCCCATAGCATGGTATATGGAGGTAGGCAGTGATAGCTTGGCATGCTCATGCCTGTCTTGCCTTGTACCATTCTGCTGACCTCAGTATTTTTCACATGTTAATTCCACCAAGCCTGAGCAGTGTCACGAAGATAGCTATAATCAAAACTCTGTGACCGCTTCATATCTACTTTTAACGGTCATATCTTATAACTCGTATACTAGGAGAGGATAAATCGCAGGGCAGTATACTCATCAATTGGTAGATATTCAGATGTCTTGCATGTTAGAAAATGCTAAACTGGCCTTCTGTATCCAAGCTGAGATTTTGTCAACAATCGACATGTTCAAACTGATACAACTATCAAGTTAGGTGTGACTCACATAACCTTATACTGACTTTCCATATTGTAAATAGATGGAAGGGTGAACAGTTAATTAGTTGGACTTTATTGAAGCATAATGTACTAAGAATTTTTTTTACAAGAACGTTCAATATTTATCTTTTCTTTCTTTCTCTCTTAGATTTATTACTATATTTGGAATGCGACTGCCCAAAACACAACGTATCGCTTTAGTTCGTTTAGTTATAGCTTATATATGCTGTCCAAATATTGATACAAAAGTTATATTCACCGCATTACAACTTTTAAAATGCTTAATGACGTATGTATTTTTGTGTATATTTATTCTATACTAATTGTGTTTACACATACAGATAAAAACATTTGCATCATTCCACTGCTTTTTTATTACTGAATTGGGTTTAAGTAATAGAATATGGTTTCAGTTATCGAATTCTAGTTTCCAAGTTTACCTTAATTGCCTAACTTATGTTTTAGAAGTCATATAGTATTGTTTGTTCTTGTTCAGTATTGTGGTATATCTTATCTTACTTGGTGTCCATCCTAAGGAAGAATATCTACCTACGAAACTTTATCAGATCATGACTATCCTGTACATGATCAACTACACAGTCATCTACACAAATCAACAAACGTATCATCCTACCATACATAAAGAATATATCAGAAATCATGATAAGATTGCTGACATCACTTCGTGGAATCGGTGTGGCTCATAAACCAATAAATTCCCTACAAACACCATTATGCAGACCAAAGGAGGCAACAACCAAAGAAGACAAACCAAACGCCTTTTACAAAATCAACTTCAATAACTGTAGTCAACACTACATTGGATAAAGTGGTCGCCTTCTTCACATTCGTCTACACTAACATCAATTAGATATTAAACGTCACACACGACATTTCATCACGCATTTCAATCCATGTGGATAACAACTATGAACATGAATTCAATTTTGATAATGTGGAAATTCTGGAGTGAGAGAGGAAACACAAAGAAGAATATCGGAGAATTCCTAGAAGCTTGGCATTCAGGCCAGTCAGTCAGGAATCAATAGATGTTTAGACATAGACCCAATCTATCAACCATTGAGAAAAAAATGATGAACGACAGAAAGGTGAGAGTTCAAGCAGAGGATTGGTTGATAGGAAAATGTATGCAATCTGTCAATGACACAACAATCGAAGGAAACAACCAATCACAAACCATCTCGTCAAGGCAAGCTACTAAATCACTCACGGAGAGATATTGACAACTCACTTCCTAGTGAAGTTAGTGGTGATGATGTCGTGTAGAAAGGCGACGAAAGCTCCACGACTAAACAACCCAACTCAGAGAACACAATACAACCAAGTATATCTTTATACACTGTTGAGAGTGAGTTGTTCTCTGAGCTTACGTTTTAGTTAGGAAACGTTTCAGTATCTTGTTAGACTATATCACCATCATTGACTAATATTGAAGAACGTTTGCTAAATAAAATCCTAGTTCAGAGAACAACCCACTGTAAACATTCACACACTAAGCTACAAATATTTGCCATAATGTTTCACTTTCAAGTGCGAACCTGAATATAATTACAGAGTCCTATTTATTTATGTATTGGTTTTTTTCTTGCAATCTATTCACAGTAAACCGTACTCTCTGCCATCATCAAGTTTATCTGTTGATTGGAAAATTTTTTGGGATATGGAGAGATGGATTGAAAGTGAATTGGAAGCATCTGATGGCTGTATTGTATGGCCTGAGTAAGTTATTATTTCGTTATATGAACTTTATGTTAACCTGGAAGAAAATTTGTGTGACTGTGATTGATTGGTTCAATAAAAAAAGATTATTTTTTCTTTAAAATTTGAAGTTACCCCGTTACCAGTATGAGTGACAAGAGAAGAACTATGTAATGCTCTTTTGTTATTTATACTTAAGAACATTTGACTAACGTACACCTACCGAAGGTAATCGGGGCACATCAAGGCGTATGCTAACTAAGCGTTCATAGCAGTTGTCCTGGTAGGTTCATTACATGAAGCCTTAGGATCTTGTCGTCGGCTGACTTATCTTGCACACGTATCTTGTATACTTTCCAGAACTCGTGTTTGGGATGCGTTTCTCAGCACCCAAATGTAAATTGTTCCTCCAGGATTGGTCTTCAATTGTGCCACAGCTAACAATAGAAAGTGTCGACCACTTCACTTACCTGGGAAGTAAGATCAGCCGTAGCGGCTGGCTTCGTGACCGACGAAACTTCCTCACGAATACAAAAGGCTCGATTGGGTTTTCCCAACTTAAGCCACCTGTGGTGCCGCTGTGATATCTGATTGTCGGTTAAGGTTCGTGTGTACTACACAGCAGTCCGCTCTGTTCTACTATATGGCTGTGAAACATGGCCGTTGAAGGTAGAAGACATGAGAAGGCTGGCTTCAGGTGTTTGACGACCGTTACCGTCGTAATATAGACCGCATTCTGTGGTGTCACGACGTGAGTAACGCAGAAGTCGGGTGTAGAGTTTTAAGGAGAAGAGGTAAGTCAGTTGACACGGTTGTGAACGTTCATCGACTGAGTTCGCTGGTTGGGACATGTGTTACGTATGCGTAGTTGCAGATTGTCTCGTCACACAATGTTGACTGAAGTAGGTTGAGAATGGAAAAAGGCCTGAGGCGGGGAGACCATACTATGGTACGAGTGGATGAAGTGTGTGACTGTTGGTTTGAGCCAATGTGGGACGATGCAGACTGTGTTGTTTGGGGGGGGGGTCTGTGGGAGAAGAGGAACGAGTGGTTGGAGACTGTAGGTGATGCATCATGACTGAGAACGGATGTCAGTGTTGCAGAAGTATACACACATTATCCTCAACTTAACTATGCTATACTGAATCTCACCATTTTGTCATTTTTCCTTTCCCTCTTTTCGTACTTTATATTTCTATTGACTGAATTTTCTATCCTTGTTGATCTTTCAGTTGACTGTCTTTTTACTTGATGTAGTGATAGGAGGTGTGGTGGCAACTCGGACTGTTACTCAGTAATGCCTAGTCGTATGTTGATTTGAATGGATGGATGTATGGCCGACACTACGAAGGTGATGGTGGCTTAGTGTCTACAAGCTTTTATTGTCTCCCATATCTAATGATCGTCTTCCATAGCCTTGTAGTAGAACAGAGTGAAGTATTGTGCATACACTTGAATCTTAGCATACATTCAGAGATTTTGTCGATCTTATGAATGGTGTAAACTGTCAGAAACGATTGAAAAATTGCATCTTTGTACTGAAATTTTGTCGGTTGCCAACTCATCAGAGCTGATTCAACTTTCCAAGTTAATGAAATTGTCGATAAGGCTAATCACTTTATTTCCTTCAGTAAGATGCAGCATTACTTCAGATCAGTTGTGAAGCATTTAATTGATAAGAAACTTATTTCAAACCTTCTTAAATTTGTTTATCAACATATTCAAATGACTGTACATCTTGTCATCATCTTTACCTAACAGGACTATGTCATCTATGTAGTCTAAATCAAGTAGGGGTTCTTTTGTGATAAGATCAATCCCCCTGTAAAATCAGACTAGGAGAGGGAGACGTTACTAAGCATATCTAAGACAGTTAAATAAGAATGGGGAGGCTGAACGTCCTTGACGAACGGTGTTTAACGTAGCTCATTGAACACTCTAACAAGTTCACATATGTTCGATCAGAAAGCCTTCAGTAATAATGTGATGTGATTGTTTTATAGTCTTCTCTTCATTATAATCCCTATGTCTGGCAGGCAAAGAGAATGTTTCAGTGATGAATTTAAAGTTTATCGTCTTACATATCTTAATATCAAATAGAACAGATTGACTGATGAGATATTCACATTCCATTGAATTTTCTTAAATAAAGAATTCATTTGATCTTGACTGTTCTGTGCTCTTAGCCGGTAACTAGCATATATATAAGATGATAATTTTTATTTATCCCTTGGGTTCCTAGTGGAACATACGGCTTCAGTAGCACGTCGCTACTAAACTCTCTTTTCTGCAGTCTTCTCAACCTGGCTCCACCACTGCCCAGAAGTTACCATTTCTTCCTCACACGACCTACTCTATGTCACCTTTAGATGCTTACTCGTCCTTTCCCATTTGGCTTACACTCGACGTCATGGACTAGCCTGACCTAGCACGTGATGTCCTCAAACTGTCTTCTCAGTGTATGCTCCATCTAGTCCATCTCCACTTTCTTCTGCATATTTGTTCGGCTATAAATTTTTGGTTAATTTGTTACATGATCAGAGTTCCTTGTTGCTTATTCTTATTATTCTTGCCATCTGATCTTCAGTACCCGTATCAAGGGAGCGTAGGCGGCAGCTGTTGATGTGTGCAGCTTGTTAGAAATGCTTTTCGCAACGCACCAAGTCTCTCAACCATCACATTGACGAAGTGACTTGCCTGAATTAGTGTCTGAAACAATAAGTCCCTTTAATAAATTTCGATAACGCTATTAGAAGACGTAGATTATCTGAACAATGTGTGATGTATTTGCGCAATACATTTCAAACAATCTGATCCCCCACATATTTACTTGTCAAGTCAATTTATATATGGAAATGAAAGGTCAAATATATATTATAAATATGAAAGGGTTGTGACACTAGTCATGGTAATATAATCAGATAAGGATTACCATGGTATGGACTTCCAAAAATTCACGAAATTAATTATCCACTACGCTCAGTATTGTCAATGTGTCAGTCTCCCACACACAAATTGGCAAGATGGTTAACCGAATTACTGAGCCCGATTTGTAATGATTTATGTGAGTATTCACTGAAAGATACGTTTGAAATTGTTGATTATCTTACTGGTTTGAATATTAAAAATAAGAAAATGTATTCTTTTGATGTCAACTCTTTGTTTACTAATATGTCTTAAACGAAGACAATTAATATTCTTTACCACTACATACCTTCGAATTATCCTTCTTTCCGTATTCCTTCAATTCATTTGAAAGAGCTTCTTTTATTATGTACTGATAAGGTTCATTTCACTTTCGAAGGTGAACACTTTCGGTAAATTGATGGTGTATAGCCATGGGGAGTCCATTAGGACCGTTATTAGCTGATTATATATATGATACATACTGAACTAATGACTCAAGATTTAATCACCAATGTCACATTCTATAGAAGGTATGTGGATGATATCTTTGTAATATGTGACACAGATGAGGATGCCAAGAGTTTGTTAAAAAGAGCTTAATACCGTACAAGATCATATCAGTCTGAAAAAGACCATCAACTTGCATTTCTTGATATACTTTTGTGCCGGAGGAAAGATGGATCTATCAGACGATTAATATATAGCAAGCCTACTTGGACAGGACAGTATTTGAATTTCTACAGTGTTTATCCGACGTAGTATAAAAGAGGCTCAGTAAGATGCTTGTTCAATAGAATCCAACGTATTTGTACATCTGATTCGATGGATGATGAGAATAAATTTCTGACAGACACTCTAATGGAAAATGGTTATCCACTACAGTTTGTCAACCATTGTAAAAAAACAGCTGATCCCGAAGTCTATAGTTTCCTCTATCCCAAAGAAAAACATATTTCTCAAAGTACCATATAGAGGGGAAATGAGTAGTATGATATTGAAACAGAGATTAAAATCTGTTATTAGTAAAACATAATATGCAGCTCAGCTTATCATTGTTGAGACGACAAAACACTTGCGTATAAATGATTATGTCACATCCCACTGTGTTTACCAATTTACATGTATGTGTGAACACACAGACATAGGGAGGAGTAATCGTTCAATACAGACTAGGATGGGTGAACACATACCTGATTGGCTTGAAAAGCAATTCAACATACAAACATTGATAAGTGCAGGTGACAGACATCCATCGTCATCTATAGCAAAACATCTTCATTGAAATGAATTACAGGGTTAATACGAAAACAGCCTTCAAGATATTATACAGGAACAATCAAGGGCGTATACTGAAGTTTGCCGAAGCGTTAGGCATTCGTAAACTTAAGCCCCAGATGTGCTTACAAAAACAATTTGTTGTTTCACTTAATTTACCTTGGTTAAGCCTTGGTAATCTGATTATATTACCTACCAAGACTAGTGTCACAACCCTTTCATATTCAATATATATTTGACCTTTCATTTTCATATATAAATTGACTTGACAAGTAAATGTGTGGGGGATCAGATTGTTTGAAATGTATTGCGCAAATACATCACACATTGTTCAGATAAACTTCGTCTTCTAATCACGTTATCGAAAGATAGAGAATAGACTATTAAAAAAACATAGCTACATTCTTATTGTAGTTGATGATCAGTGAATAAGATTGATTTTTAGATACATTAGTCATGGTATCATTAGTGTATTGAACAAGATATTAACACTTCAAACTAGATGGAATCATTTTGATATGAAGCCAGGATTCACATCAAATTACAGAGAAACCTAATCAACAATTATGTCATTACTATTATCTGAAACAATTAGTCCCTTTAATAAATTTCTACAACAAGCATCAATCACCGCTAACGGGAGAAATCTAAACGAAGTTGTCTCTTTCACTTACATATAAGTAGGCAGCATCCTCTTAACTACAGATGGCGGCACAAAACCAGAATCGGAAAGACAGCAAGACAGACCTTCCTGCATTGATCTGAAACCAGTCAGTGTGGAGATCTACTCCACTCCATTGCACTGTACTCAGAATAAAGAGTGAACAAGATCGAGATTT